GTGTGAGTGTGTGTGAGTGTGTTTGATAACAACTTCCTAAAATGACAGAAACCATCTACAAACATTTATTGAACATCTGCCTCATGCTCTGCAGACATGGAGGAGGTGGAGGTTTATGACCTATACTGCAGCCAGCCACCAGGGGGCGATCAACATGATTTGACTTCACTTTAGGAGCTGTCATGTCGTCCATCTTCATTTACAGAGAAAGTCATTATGCTGCTAATTTAACTGTATTATAACAAGAATATTCGATGGTCGATTATTTGTTGGTTCCAACAGTATTTGAAAAGATATTTTGTGTTTTGTTATATTTGATAATCTGATGGTTTCTGTGCAGGTGGACGAGGACGAGCCTTTGTTCATGAGTCTGATCAATGATCTGTTTCCTGGTATCGGTACGTTTCTAAACAACAGACTCACTCATGTCTTTACAATCGGAGATGTGGCGACAAACACAAACAGTTATTACAACGTGTTTGTGTTTGATCACGAAATGTTTCAGTTTAAAGTTTGATATGATTTAATCCAGTCGCTCCTCCTCTCCATCCCTCTGCTAGTTCTGGATAAGGCGGGGTATCCAGACTTGGAGTCGTCCATCTTCAGTCAGGCTCAGAGGGCCGGCCTGATCCCTCACCCCCCCTGGATCCTCAAACTGGTTCAGCTCTACGAGACGCAGAGAGTCCGACACGGTACAGATCATCAGACAGAACTTTATTAAACTGAACGTTGACACCAGGTATTAAACATCCAGCTCTGGTCTACTCATCTGAGATCACTTGTTGAACCTATGTTTCACCACTAGATGGCAGTGTCTGGGTTTAAATGAAAATCTGGAAGTGGACTTTTACATTTCGTGACTTTATATAATTTGTGGTTTCATGTTTGTTTGGGTCAAAGCTGATGTTTGTGTTTAGAGTCAGAAATAGATTTATTATCAGCCTGTTCATCAAATTCAGCAGATGTTTCTCGACCATATAAATAAAAATGAAAACAACATTATTAAAATAATTTGTTTGTTTTCCAATATCAAGATCTTGTTTTAGAGCCGGCCTCATGGCGGAGAACCATCGAGTCCTTCATCTATTGTTGTCGTTGAAGTAGTTGTTTATCTTTGTTTTATTCTTACATTAGGTTCTTGAGTCAGTTTTGGTTCAGCTGCTTGTTCTCATGCAGGTATGATGACGTTGGGTCCCAGCGGAGCCGGGAAGACGACCTGCATCCACACCCTGATGAAGGCCATGTCAGAATGTGGCTCCCCGCACCGGGAGATGAGGATGAACCCTAAAGCCATCACGGCCTCACAGATGTTCGGCATGCTGGACGTCACCACCAACGACTGGACCGATGGCGTCTTCTCCACACTGTGGAGGAAGACGCTCAAGGCGAAGAAGGTTTGATGGACAGACTGAAGTTATTAGATTTATAATAACCTAAACATGTTTATATGACACATTTGAACCGTGTGTGTGTGTCAGGGGGAATATATCTGGATTGTGTTGGATGGTCCGGTTGATGCAATCTGGATCGAGAATCTGAATTCAGTTCTGGATGACAACAAAACTCTGACACTGGCAAACGGAGACAGGATCCCCATGGCGCCCTGCTGCAAGGTGACACCCCAACCTTTGTTAGTCAAGTGTCAGCCAATCAGAATCCACTGAATAACTGTCATGAACTCCACCGTAACGTGCAGAAGTTGTAATATGACGACACGTCCTTTGTGTTCTGCCTCCAGATTGTCTTTGAGCCCCACAACATCGACAACGCCTCCCCGGCCACCGTGTCCAGGAACGGGATGGTGTTCATGAGCTCGTCTGTGCTCGGCTGGAGCCCCGTCCTGCAGGCGTGGCTACAGACACTCCCGGAGCCGCAGGCCGACGCCCTGAGACTCTGCTTTGACTCCTGCTACCAGGTGGAGAGAGAATCCTGGAGAGGATGTTCAAACAGTGGCCAGTGTTTCTTTCAGGGAGACGAGGGTGTCAACGTTTCATAGTTGTACTTCTTACTGTCGTCTTCAAGTTAAAGAGACTATCAGTTATCACAGGTTCCTACAAGCCTCGTTCCTACTGAGCATCAATCTGATTCAGTTAAACATGAGCAGCTAAAGTTTCCCTGAGGAGGTGGAGACCAAACACAGAGAAACAAGAGAGAGAAAAGTGGGACTCCTCATTTATATCTTTAAGTGATGCAGGTGGAAACTAGTTCAACATGATACTTAATCAACGTCATCTGATCGTAGCCACAATAATAATTCTAGTGTCTGTTGCACCTACAGGACGTGGTGGACTTTGTCTTCACTGCCATGTCTCCTAAGATGCAGGTGCTGGAGTGTATGTACATCAGACAGACGGTGGACCTGCTGCAGGTACGACAGGAAGTCACAGTGTTTGTTGTTCTTCAAAAAGTTCCTGTTTCTCTGTGACCGGGCCGCAGCTCCGTGTTAGAGCTCAAATCAGACAGAGCGTTCTCCAGGTTTTACTTTTGTCTTTTCTTTCTTCGTATCTGTGTCTTCAGGGTCTCCTCCCAGCCGCAGAGGAGAAACAGGGTTGCCACGGTGACGTTGGTCGGCTGTTTGTATTTGCGGTCATGTGGTCGCTCGGCGCGCTGCTGGAGCTGGATGACAGAGCCAAGATGGAGGCCTTTCTGAAGGTTTCTGAATTCTTTGGTTTCTTCATGGAGACGTCATTCTCTTTGTTCAGACATCCTTAAAATCCTCATTCATGTTCCACAGAGGATAAACCCTGGAGGTTTCTGACTGTTCCTCTAGCGACACCCTCAGGACAAATTTTATTTTCAGCTGCAGTGCTGGTCAGGCTCTTGCTTTAGTGGCTGTAATGAAAATGCAGCTATGAAAGTATTTATTTACTTTTTTCATGTAATGAAACCTGATGCATCAGATTTCTTCAGCTCTTCGTCAGTTTCATTCTGAGAGAAAAGACCTTGAATGATTTTTGTCTCTGGAGTTGTTCCAACGTGGACTTCAGGGTAAAGTGTTGCATTATTTGTGTTTGAAGGGACACGGCTCGTCTCTGGACCTGCCGCACACTCAGGACGACGAGACAATCTTCGAGTTCGCCGTCAATGAGCAGGGGCAGTGGGAGCACTGGTCCAACAAGGTGTGTGGACACGAGGCCGTCATCGTTCTGTTGACTTAACCACGTGAACCTTTATCCCTCAGAGTCAAAGTCAACTCGTTACCCTCCTCTGCCATGATTCAGGTCCCAGAGTACGTCTACCCCAAAGACCACGTCCCGGACTACTCGTCCATCCTGGTTCCAAATGTGGACAACGTGAGAACGGACTTCCTGACGCGGACCGTCATGAGGCAGAGGAAAGCTGTGCTGCTGATCGGAGAGCAGGGAACCGCCAAGACCGTCATGATTAAAGTGAGACACGAGAGACGTAACGCAACACGCTGACGTTCCATCCACAGTTTAATGTAGTAACACAATGAATGAATGTAATGACAACAATCTGATTATTTAACCGAAGAATTGGATCCAAACAGAACCGGTCGACAGAGGGCAGCCCCAGTGGCTGTTAGAGAGACTGCAGCTTCTTGCAGCTAGCTCTTATCCTCAGCTCGCTAATGCTACAGCTACATGACGTGTTTCTCTCTGGCTCCCCCTGCAGGGCTACACTGGTAAGCTCGACCCGGAGCTCCACCTCAGTAAGACGCTGAACTTCTCGTCTGCCACGCTGCCCAGCATGTTCCAGAGAACCATAGAGAGCTACATCGATAAGAGAATGGGCTCCACCTACGGGCCGCCGGCCGGACGCAGGTTGACTGTGTTCATAGATGACATCAACATGCCCGTTATCAACGAATGGGGAGACCAGGTCAGCCTCAAACCCTCTGATTGGTCAATGTCAATTTTTTCTTTTACAGTTTAACAATCTTACAAGCAATATTTTTAATCAGGAAATTAATAATTAAACATGTTAAATACGATTATCTATACATTTGTTCACAGTCGGATGATTGATATCGTTTCTTTTCATCGAATTTCTGTTTTTGTTTTAATGACACTTCCTCGTAACCAATCACTTACTGAGATCTTGTTGCCCCGCCTCCATCAGATAACCAATGAGATTGTGCGTCAGCTGATGGAACAGGGAGGTTTCTACAGTCTGGATCGTCCAGGAGAGTTTATCACCGTGGTCGACGTTCAGGTAACAACTGGGTCAGGCTCCAAATGTTTTGGTTCGTGGCGGCCATGTTTAAATTAGATATTTTTGGATCATTGATTAAAGAGCAACATTTCCTGTTTGGCTGAGCCTCAGTGTTTCCAGCTTCAGTTGAGTGAAGGACTTTTAACACGTGTCTGTCATATATCTGCTTCCTGTTTAATGTCCTTTCGCTGCATCAATGTGCCGACTAATGTTTGTAACAACCTTTAACAGCTGGTGGCGGCCATGATCCATCCCGGTGGCGGACGGAACGACATCCCTCAGCGGCTGAAGAGGCAGTTCTCCATCTTTAACTGCACGCTGCCCTCCAACTCCTCCATCGACAAGATCTTTGGCACCGTGGCTCAGGGATACTTCTGCCCAGAGAGGGGCTTCCCCGCTGACGTCTGCGACCTCGCCGCCGCCCTAGTGCCCACCACCAGGCGGGTGTGGCAGGCCGTTAAGGCGAAGGTAAAATATTGAGAGAACTTGTTGTTGATTCATAAAACTTTATTTTCAGAATTATATTATTATGTATTATAATATTCTCCTTATATCGAACAGCAGTGGTTTTATTTTACAATTTTCTGATTCTGTAATAAATCAGTAAAACTAGTTTACACAGAATGAAAGTTCCCTGCTTTTATTGTGAAGATGTCCAGGAGGTACAGATTTCGTCTCTCATCTTGTTTGACTGATGTTTCCTCGTTTGTGTCTGTCTCCTCAGATGTTACCGTCTCCTGCAAAGTTTCATTATATTTTCAACCTGAGGGACCTGAGCAGAATCTGGCAGGTAGGAAACACACTTCCTGTTTGTATTTGAATCCTGAAGGAAACAAGAACAATGAATTGATGCTGATTCCTGGTTTTCTGTCGACAGCGACGATGTTTAGTGTCAACAATGTTCCCACACTACAACAAGGAGGGCTTTTATTTTGATATCTCTGTGCAACATCCTGTGAACCTGTTGTATTGTATTATTCAAGAAAATGTTTGTTATATTTGTGTTGTGGTTATTGTTGTGTGTGTGTGTGTGTGTGTGTGTG